GACCATTTCTGCCATTATGGCAATGAGTTTGGAGTGGTGACGGGTATTTATTCCAAAGCGAACCCTAACCCTAGTCGCTATGTGCAACCATCACCCCTCAGCCTTATACCTCCCTCACCGGTGCCGCCCTTCACCACCGACGCTGCCACAGTTGTTGGAGTCGGAAAGACCGTCGTCCCCACCGTGAGCTGCTGTCGCTATCAACACCGCGACTGTTTCATTGCCAGCCGACCACCATCACTCGTGACCGGTCGCCGCCATCGTCGTCAAGGCCGAGAGCCGCCGGCTGTAGGCGCAAATGTGGCCGCCGTTCGCTACCGCCGTTCTCTGTCTTCTTCCTCTTCGTTCTGCTGCCGATGGTCATCGCTATTACCGCCTCTAGCCATCATCGGCGTCGCTCCTTGCTGCTGCCTGTCTTTCCCTGTCGACCGCCACCGCCGCCTAGCAGTTGTTCCACCCACTTCCATCGTCATGAACCACCAGGTGGGTGGTTGAACTCATCCTTCGAGCAAGAAGGCGTGCGTGTGTGTGTTATTTCTGTGTGAGTGTGTCGTGGGTGGCTTGGTTTGGCCGGAAATTGCAAGAACAACCACCACCACCACCGTGAGAAACACTTAACCCTAGTTGTCATTTTATGTGAAACCCTAATTTTAGAAATTTGATCGGGACCCGCACTTGAATTATTCACTAAACTTAATATATTAATTAATAATCATTTGCAATCAACCTAAAGCAATATTGGACTTGATGGATTAAGTCCTTAATGGTTTAAGTAGGAACACTTAACCCTAATCATCATTTCATGTAAGAAACCCTAATTTTTAATTGGTCTTTTCTATTGGGCTTTGGTAATTGGGTTATTAATGGGTCATCCAAGAACAAGCAAATGGACTAGAATAATTTAATGGGCTTTAGGGTAAGGCCCATGTGAGGGATTTGGGCCCAATTTGGAAAATTTGGCCATAGATTGGCCATAGTTTGGGCCTTAATGGTTATATGAAATTGGGCCATATGTTGGGCCTTGAGCCATAGTTGGACTTTTGGGCGTTTGGTTTGGGCCTTGGGCTTAAATCAAGCCAAGTTAGGGGTAGAGTAGTCTTTTACCCCCAAGCATGGACTTATAGTTATGTATTGGAACCTAATTATTAATTGGGTGTTATTTTGATGTTGACAGTTCGGGAACCTGTCATCCAACAGCTGGGGTTGGGTCTGCGCGACTTCAGCAGTGCGAGGTGAGTTACCTTCCAGTAGAAGTGGATCTACGACCACAATGCCGGCCCACCAGTAGGGATTGTTTGTCGAGTAGTTGTCTTTGTGATAATTACTTGGGTTCGTCACTATCTGATGTGTTTTATGTGCTAGCATGATATGATGTTATGTGATAGTGGTAGTAGGGGGGAATAGTCCCTGGTTACCGGTCGATAGGGCCGAAGGGGGTAGTCTAGTACCCAGCTATGTTATGTTTATGTTATGTTACGTTATGTGGTAGTGGTAGGGGTGAAATAGTTCCCGTAACCGGTTGAGATACACCGGAGGGTAGGTCCGGCACCCAGATATGCCTGACAGTGGGGTAGGTTGAGCACCCCGGTATGCTCAGCAGGGTAGGTCGGGCACCCAGATATGTCTGACAGGGTAGGCCGGCACCCAGATATGCCCAGCAGTATGTGATCTATATGGTATGTGGTATGATGGGGGAACTCACTAAGCTTCGTGCTTACGGTTTACAGTTTGGGTTTCAGGTACTCGTCTTCAAAGGAAATGAGCTGGCTTGATCGCAGCGTGTCACACTATGTTTTCCGCAAATGAGATCTTTAAGATTACACTCTGATATGGTTTTCTGATAATATGTTTTGATTATTGACACTTTGGTTTTGACATGAGATATTAATATGAATGTTTTTATACTGTTGGTTTTGTATAATAACTTAATTAAAATGAAATTTTTGGTCTTGAATTTTGGGATGTTACAAATACTATGGTAAAAGACCTTTTTACCCTCTCTATAACTTGGCCCGCAAAGCTAAGGCCCAATTCAACAATCCAAAAGGCCCAAACATGGACCAAAACATCCCATGGTCAACCCTGATCAAACTTTTGGTCAAAGTCAAAGTCAACAGTCCATGTTGACCAAACACGTCGTGTTGACTTGCAAACACGTCGTGTTCTTCCATTATCCAGATAATCGGGAAAACCCCAGCCAACACGCCGTGTTGGTTTGCAAACACATTGTGTTTGCCCGAGTTTCCACAACTTAATACATTAAGCTACTATCTCTGATTCCAAGAGCTCCAAAGCTCAGATCTAGACCAAAATGAGACTTAGAAGGGTAAAGTTTCCATCTTTACCCATAGGGATTACTAAAAGGGTCCAAACCTAACCAAAAAGGCTTGATCATGCAAGGGCTTAACCAATAAGCACTTGATCCTTGAAGACATAACCCCAAAATGTAGATCTGACTTCCTTGAGCTGGAAAACCACGTAAAGTTGCCAACTTTACGTT